TTTAAAGACAGGTTGGTAGGTTGAGATACATCAAATTTTTTTTTTTTTTGATTTTATACACTTTTTCTGTTTTGTTTGTTTGTAAGGGAAATAGAAAAGCAAAAAAAGAAAAAGGACGAATTGAATAGTTTTCAGTTTTGCCAACCATTTTTTGTGTCTTTTTGTCTTCAAACTTTGCTGTCAAATTTTCTATTTATCTTAGTGGAACCAAAACCACAACTACAGCAATAACTTTTCATTTTTGATTTTATAGTTTTCTGTTATTTTATCCTTTCAACTTTGACAACTAAACAAGAAAAAGAAACCTTTTGACACCAACGAAATGCAGAATGCGCAAAACAAAAAAAAACCTTCTTTATCGTTACTATTTCTTTGTCTTAAAATATTTTATTAAGATTGTGCAGAATTAATAAAGGTGTAAACAACAATTTGAAGGATGGTATTATCAGCAATGACAGTAATTACTTATGACAGTAAAAACCATTGACCGTGGAATAGGGAAAATGATGCTTCAAAAATGCATCTGGAAAATATTTTCAACAGTTACATTTATTCCTTCTGCTATTCTTTTTTGCAAAAGGTTTTGAAGAATCTATGTTAAATATAAGGAGAGAAATTTGTATTCAAATTCATTCAGAGTTGTTACTTATATATAAATAAACCTTTTGCTTTATTGTACATTCTTTGAGAAGGTAAAAATTTCATTAAGTTTCTTAAGTTTTCCAGACAGTAGTTGTTGAAAAGGTTAGTAAACTAAAAATGCAGACCTAAACTGTCGTTAAATGTTACACAGCATTTTCTTTGCATAATTTTTAATGATTATAAATTTATTAAACTTTAGGTTTCTTCTTCTATTTTTTTTCTCCGTTTTTCAAACCTAATAAAATTTTACTTTTCTTCTATTAATTTCAAGAAATTCAAATGTTATTTATATGTAACTTTTCTATTGCTTTTTCTCTGTTGTAGCTTTAATTAGGTCAGCAAAAAGAAAACAAAGATGATATGCTGTAAATTTATGGCTTGAATTTGTCAGTTGATTAAGTGCTGGACCAACGCCTTGACTGCTCAGTTGTTCTAGCTAAACTGCAGTTGTAATAGAAATGACAGTAGTTTATTACCAACAGTTACGATGAATATACCAGTTTTTTTAAAAGATTGAAATACTTACTACAGTTTAACTATTTATTTATGTGTTAAATCTATAAACCGTTCCTTTTTAAATCTACAAATACTGTAGACAGCAAGTAAAGACTCGCCTATCCAGTTATGATTAAAATCATTATGGTCAATTATCATCAGCATCATTATCATCATGATCGTCTCTGTTGTTTACACAGTATTTGTCAATTTTGTAGTAGTTTTATATGCTTAATTGCCCAAACCAAACTGAAATATATATTTGTGGTATGATTGCGGTGCTGACAGCATAAACTGTGGTTTTTTTTTTGTATCATTTGGCTTATCTTAATTTACTCCAAAATGCATACAGATTTTTTTTGTTTAACAGAGGCAGAAAGAAGGAGTTTGAATGGAGTTTTATATCGGTTAGCAAACGGTAACAAAAGAGACGAGGGATGAAAGAAGAATTATAGTCTGATTTGATGCTTCATAACTCACTGTTGCTTAACTGTGGTTTGATATTTAATCCTCTAATTTTAACTTAATATTTAATAATACTATAAAAAACTGTTGTAAATTATCAAACGATTGAGAAAATTTTTGGAATAGATCGCTAAAAGATTTAAATTGCTAAGGGCTGAAAGATAAATGTGGGGGATGCGTGGAAGGGAAATAAAGGAAAAGCCAATTGGAAAGTTTGCAAAACTATCGTCATCATCATTTTAATATCGTTCCAGTTTGCTGGCAACTTTTTACTACTTATTAGAAGTTATTGTCACTTTTATTGCTATTATTATTTTATTATAGTCGTTATTTTTGTTATTATCATTTTTAGTAGAAAAAATTTTGTTTCCAATAGACTAGCAAATCGATTAATACTAGGAAGAAATAAAGGAACTACAGGTGTAGGTGTACAAGAAAAATATTTTTACAGAAAAGGAG